ACCTGCCTGCTCCTAACACTCCTCTCTCTTCTTCTCTGCTTTATTTTTGACCTTGCACCTTTACCTTCCAATCCACTGGGTACCTGGTTATTTTGTTGTGATCTTCCCCTTAGACTCCTTGAGTTGAGGAATTTTTGTGTTCTGCTTACTGCAGGATTGGTAGCACCTAGAAGAGGGCCTGGCACTCAGTAGGAGCTCAGTAATTATGTGTTAAATGAATGAACACAAAGTTCCATTCATCCACATGTGCATTTTCCAAGGCAGAGAGGGTCCAGAGCATTCATTGGGTTGTTTACCACACTGCCCAAGGTTGTCTCCCATTTGGGGCTATGTTGACCAAGCAGATTTACCTTCCAAAGGCGGAGAGAATGCCACTTAGCCACTTGGGCCTGTAGTTAGTCTATAAAATTTGGGCCTTCAAAGTTAATAAATGAGACCCTGGTTTATCCATCAGTCTCTTATGAAGTGGGTCTTGACGACTCAGTCTCCCTGCCAAACCACCTGTCTATAGCAAGAGGTGGCTCAGATCCCCTCTGTGGTGTCTCTGTTCATAAGTGATAGCTCTAAATACTGTCCCTTTCCCACCACCCAGATGTAACTTTTCCCTTCCATGATTTCTGCTGTTTCATGCCTTGTGCCTTTCCAGTAATGTGGGACATTTCCCAAGGGCAAGGGACTGTTTTTTTTTTTTCTAGGACTAGGAATTAAGAAGATGCACACACATCTCAAGCAGCTATGGGTTCAAGTCTTGACTCTACTACCTACTCACTGTGTGATCTGCAACAAGTTACTTAACGTCTCTGTTTCCTTCTCTAAAAATATGGGTCTAGGAAGAATAATACCTCCTTCACTGTGTTGCTTGGGGGATTTGATGAGCTACTGATGTGCTTGGCGGATTTGATGAGCTACTGATGTGCTTGGCACAGGGTTAAGTATGGAGTTAAGTGAGGGATTTTCATTCAACCACCCTACAAATATTTATTGAGTGCCCGCTATGTGACAGACATTGAACTAGGGACCAGAAAGAATAAATGGGGCAAGAGCTGTCTTATGTGATTTAGCTTTTCAATGGCACAGACAGGCTCACTGGCCTGTTTCTGACTCTGCTGCCTCCACACTGCTGTAGGTAGCCTGGGCCTGCTACGTTCGCCATCCCTTGTGGAGCTTATATCCCAAAGGTAGAGGAGAACAGATAAAAGAGTGTATGGTTTTGAAATGGGACAAGCCCAGTAAAGCAGAAGCATAGAGTGCTTTGGGGAAAATACTGGAATAACAAAGTGGGGGGTAGATTTGAATCTGAGGGGGTCAGAGTTACTTGTGAGTTATTTTGTGAGTAACTTGGGTGCAGAGACCTGGGGATAAGCATCAGGGACCCTGCCTTCTTCCTTTCCTCTCTTTTTCCTACATCCCTAGGGATTTGGAGCTTGCTCTTCCGTCTGGCAGCCTCGGGGGAGGGTGTTTTTAAGCTGTAGTTTGGCCCTGCCCTGCCGGGCCCAGCCACACACACCCTCTAGTGGTCACAACGCGTGCCAGGCTCCAGGCTGGATGGGCCCTAGGAATCCGAGGACAGCAGGACTACCACTGCCCTTCCCTTCCTGAATTACCTTCATTCAGATGCAACGAGGGCTCCTGTAACGAGGGCTGCTTCTAGGTCCTCTTGTCACTTAATTTTGTCAACCACCTCCAGCATGATTTTTTTTTGAGATGGAGTCTTGCTCTGTCACCCAGGCTGGAGTGCAGTGGCACGATCTCGGCTCCCTGCAACCTCTGCCTCCCAGGTTCAAGCGATTTTCTTGCCTCAGCCTCCTGAGTAGCTGGGACTACAGGCATGTGCCACCATGCCCGGGTAATTTTTTGTATTTTTAGTAGAGATGGGGTTTCACCATGTTAGCCAGGATGGTGTCGATCTCCTGACCTCGTGATCCGCCCACCTTGGCCTCCTAGAGTGCTGGGATTACAGGCGTGAGCCACTGCGCCGGCCTCCAGCATGATTCTTATTTCTACTTCACAGATGAAAATCCCAAGGCTTATAGCGTTGAGGGAGGTCAGTAGGGTCAGTACTGAATTTAGGCCCATGGGACTCTGGTTTCAGAGAGCTTCATTCAGCATCATTCCTGAGCACATCAGGAACCATGCCACGTCTCCCAGTGAGCAAGAGATGATGCCAGATTTTGCCCATTACTGCCCAGCAAAGAAGGGAGGTCTCCTGAGAAAGGTCACTGCTGCAGTCTCTCCTTGGTCTGAGGCTACTGGGGCATCTCTGAGCGTGCTCCTCCAGGAACTCTGCAGATTGGGAGGCCATGGTACCTCAGAGAGGCATGGGGGTGGAAGTGGGGGGAAGGGAGCCCCTAGGGCTCTGTGCTGAGCAACTGTGGAAGCACATAAGTCCCTGCCCTCAGGGGAGGTCCTGCAGGTTACCTGCTGGTAATCCTTCTTCCTGTCGGCCCATTTCCTTTGCTTCCCATTACACAAGCACACGCCTTCTTTAGCCAAACTGTCTGGGTTTTAATCCGGCCTCTGCCAGTAACTACAAGTTACTTTGTGCAAGCCTTTGTGCTTCAGCATCCTTATCTACAAAATGCTGGTAACTCTCTCGCCTATAATACCGGCACTTTGGGAGGCTGAGGCGGGTGGATCACTTCAGGTTAGGAGTTCGAGACCAGACTGGCCAACATGGTGAAACCCCATCTCTACTACAAATACAAGAATTAGCCAGGCAGGGTGGTGCAAGCCTGTAGTCCCAGCTTCTTGGGAGGCTGAGGCACGAGAATCACTTGAGCCTGGGAGGCGGAGGCTGCAGTGAGCGGAGATCACACCACTGCACTGCAGATGGGGGGACAGAGCAAGACTCTGTCTCAAAATAAATAAATAAAATAAAATATAAAAATAAAATGGTAGTCACAACCATACCTATCCCCAAAATGTTGTAGTCTGGGGACCTCAACCCCTGACACTTTGATTCAGCAGGTGGGCCTCTTTGGAAATCCCTTCTTGAAGAGTGTAATCTGGCAACACAGACCTCCACCCCACTTCCAGCCAGGATGAGCAGGCGCGCTGGTTCCTGACCCTCTGGTTTTAGCACGTTAGTATTGTCAGTGCCATCCTTGTTTTACTGGCAAGTTACAGGAGTGCGTTCCTGTGCCTCAGCTTTCCTCATCTGTAAGTGTAGATAATAATAGTAACTATGTTCAGTGCTTATATATTAATGATAGTATCTGTTAAGTGTTGTGAGAATTACCTAAATCCTGGAACATTACCTTGCCCATAGTAACGACTCAATAAGCATGAACTATTATTATTGTAATCCACACTCAAAGAGCAGACACGGGGATAAAAGAAAATACATTTAGTTTCTCTTTGTATTTTAAGATGTATTAATTTCCCCAAAGCGAAAAGTGACTTACACAAGACGGGCTTCTGGGGTGCCGGTCGCGCTGGTTTTTGGGTGTTGGTGACATCACGTGTGTTTGTTTACTTGTGAAAAGTCATCCTGCTGTTCGCTTGCGATTTGAATTTAACCTGCACTATCTCCTGGGACCCTCGTGGTTCTGTGAAGCACGAACGGCAGGCATCCTCATCCGCGGTTTCAAATAAGAAAGTGTGGCTAGGACGGCTAATTTAATTTGGCCAAAGTAGTAGCGGATGGGTGTGAGGAAGTTTCTGAGTCCGACCTTTCATTCTGGGAACAACTGCCACTTCCAGAGAGCGCAGCGCGAACAGTACCTGACCTCAGGTGAAGCTCAGCAAATGGTTCTGAATCCTGCTTGCAAATACCACTCTTCCCTCAGGGCCCGCCCGGGGGCTCACACCGCCGCACACTCCCCAGGCCAGCCCCACGCGTGGCCACCCTCGAGGGAGACCCGCTCGCCAGCGCCAGGAGGCCAAGGCTGGGGAATGGCGCCTAGCCCCCGGCCAATGAGAATAGCGGAATTTCTTTCATTCAGCGCGCGGCCAGGCTCCTGCCCGGAAAGGGGCGGGGCGCCGCGCCGTGGGTGGGGCCGCCGCGCGCGGGGGGAGAGGGCGGTGCCGGCCTCGCAGTCTGGCCAATCGGCGCCGCGCCCGGGGGCGGAGGGGGGCCAGGCCTTTTTTCCCCTCCGCGCGGGACCAATCCCGACTTTACAAGCTTGAACTTTTGCCACCCTCGGACGAGCGAGCGCGCCCGAGGAGGTACCCCGCCGCGCCGGCTCCAGGGGCAGGAGCTGCCTTAACTCTTCCCGCGCCAGGCGTCAGGCTGCTGCCGCCGCGCCCCCATCCCTCCCGCAGCCCACCCCCATTTTTGCGTGGAAACCAGGGAAAGCGTGATCCCTCACCCACAGCCGTCTCTGAGGTGCGGAGAGTAAACTGGGGAAGGGAGAGGAAGCACCCAGTCTGAAGGGGGCCCGGCCGGCCAGCCGCCAGCCTCGTTCCGAGGGAGGGCCGTGGCGACCGAGAGGAGCCAGCGAGTAGACACTCCCCGCCTCTACCCCACCCTCTCCATCTCCCCACTCCGGACGAGCCTGGAGCCGTCGTGCGCAAAGCGTCCTAAGCACCCAGTTTGGCCAGGCAGAGCTACCCCCGACTTTGTGCAGGGAGCGTGGAGCCCCTCGTGCAGTCACGGAAAATCCGCTACCGCAACATATCACCTGCCCCCTGCTCCTCAGAGGCTCAGCCCAGGAAGGCACACACAAGCACACCCATTTTTATTAGCCTGCCCTGGAATGGGGGTTTGGGACAACTTTAAAGTGTAAACTGTGTTTCTAAGTTTGTGCACAAGTCAGGGATAGGCAAAGCGCCCCGTCTGCGTCCGAGTCTCAGAGCGTCCGCCGAGCCCCCGTGCTCCTCCCCGTGGTTTGTGTAACCCTGTGTGTGTGTGTGTGTGTGTGTCCGCGCGCGCGTGTGTGTGATCGCTCGCATCCGTGCCCGGGGCGCAACGCAAATCAGAAAGCAGGCCGCGGGTCCTGTCAGGCCTGGGGCGGGGGTGCCGGGGTGGTGTGTGGGGCGGGGGCCCGAGCTCCGCCCGCCTCGGGAGCCTGCCCCTTGGAGCCTTGGGACCTGCAATGGGACGTGTTCTCCTTTAAGAGTTAAGAAACTTGAAACCTTGTTTGCGCAACAATCAGCGCCGCGGAGCCGCCAAAGTGTCTAGACTGGCATATGATGGGAGGCAGCCAATGACTCCGCGGCGCTCCTCCGGGGGCCCTCAGTGTGCGTTTGAGGAGAACAAAAAAGAGAGAGAGAGCCGAGCGGGGGAGCGATCGAGGGAGTCGAGCCGAGAGAAAAAGCCGCCGGGCGCTGCCTCGCCAGACCTCGCTGGGACCCCGGGGCCACCGGGAGGCACTTTTGTGAAGGGGGGAGGAGGGGCGACCTCGGCAGCCTCCGCGCCCGGAGCGTCCGAGCGCAGCGTAGGGCGGGCTGCGACCTCTGCCTCGGTGGATTGCATTTTAAATTAAGGATCCCAGCAGCTCTTCGGGATTTTTACAGCTTCCACTCATGTGTTGACACCCGCGTCCAGGGGAAACTCGCTCCAAGTGCATCTAGCGCCTGGGACCTGAGACGGAGTTGGCCTTTCGTGCATGCAAATCCAGGGATTTAGGTTTTGTTTGGGATTTCCTTTTCTTTCTTTCCTTTTTTTTTCTTTTTTCTTTTTGCAGGGCGTAAGAAGGGAGCTGGGGGTATCAACAAGCCTGCCTTTCGGATCCTGCAGGAAAAGCCCATGTAGTTAAGCGCTTGGGTTTAAAAGGCAGGGCTTTCAATACCCGTTTGGGAGTTCGGCGCGAGCGCTTTGTGCTCATGGACCAGCCGCGCAACTTCTGAAGGCTCGCCGGCCCATGTGGGGTCTTTCTGGCGACGCGCCGCCTGCAGCCCCCCTAAAGCGCGGGGGCTGGAGTTGTTGAGCAGCCCCGCCACTGCGGTCCATGTAGCCGCTGGCCGCGCGCGGACTGCGGCTCGGCTTGCGCGTGTTCCCGGCCGTCCCGCCTCGGCGAGCTCCCTCATGTTGCAGCCCTGCGGCGCCCCTTCGACGACAGGCTGTGCGCGGTCTGCACGGCGCTCCGCTGCGGTGCTTCATGTGGGGCTGCGACCCGCGCAGCCGGCGCCTCGCTGAGGGAACGGACCCCCGGTAACCGGAGACCGCCTCCCCCCCACCCCTGGCGCCAAAGGATATCGTATGTTCAGGTCCAAACGCTCGGGGCTGGTGCGGCGACTTTGGCGAAGTCGTGTGGTCCCCGACCGGGAGGAAGGCGGCAGCGGCGACGGCGGCGGCGGCGGCGACGAGGATGGGAGCTTGGGCAGCCGAGCTGAGCCGGCCCCGCGGGCACGAGAGGGCGGAGGCTGCGGCAGCTCCGAAGTCCGCCTGGTAGACTCGCGGCGGCCCCGGGACGCAGTGGGACAGCGAGGCGCCCAGAGCGCGGGGAGGCGCCGGCGCGCAGGGGGCTCCCCTAGGCCCTTGTCGGAGCCAGGGGCCGGCGCTGGGAGCTCCCTGCTGGACTTGGCGGAGCCAGGAGGCCCGGGCTGGCTGCCCGAGAGTGACTGCGAGACGGTGACCTGCTGTCTCTTTTCGGAGCGGGACGCCGCCGGCGCTCCCCGGGACGCCAGCGACCCCCAGGCCGGGGCGGCCCTGGAGCCGGCGGGCGGCGGGCGGAGTCGCGAAGCGCGCTCACGGCTGCTGCTGCTGGAGCAGGAACTCGAAACGGTCACGTACTCGCTGCTGAAGCGGCTCAAGGAGCGCTCGCTGGACACGCTGCTGGAGGCGGTGGAGTCCCGCGGCGGCGTGCTGGGCGGCTGCGTGCTGGTGCCGCGCGCCGACCTCCGCCTGGGCGGCCAGCCCGCGCCGCCGCAGCTGCTGCTCGGCCGCCTCTTCCGCTGGCCCGACCTGCAGCACGCCGTGGAGCTGAAGCCCCTGTGTGGCTGTCACAGCTTCGCCGCCGCCGCCGACGGCCCCACCGTGTGCTGCAACCCCTACCACTTCAGCCGGCTCTGCGGGCCAGGTGAGCGCGATGCAGGAGCGGGGAGTCCCCGGCTCCTTCTCCCTGTCCCCTTCCTTGCCTTCTCTCTAACTGTGACACTGCAGGTCGGCGCAGCTGCAGGTGCTCCCCCGGGTGTCCTTGGAGTGTGGGAGCCCCCAGGGGAGGCGTCTCAGCCCGGCCCAGGGGAGTGGGTGTCCCAGCACACACATCAAGTGGCAGCTTTATCTCGAGGCTCCAGTAAACTTAAAAGGGTGCACGTCGTGGTTTTCTCTGTGCAGTTTCAGGGACATGATGTAGGTTCCAACTTCATAGGCAGGGAAAGCAGAGGGCAGGCCAACAAGAGGTCAAAGAAGTAGATGCTGTCTCCTCCTAACCCTATTCCAGAGTCTGCCCCAGACTGTGCCCAGGCTTCTAGCATTTGTAGGCATGTGGTCATACCCATATTATGCATTTCTATGTCCAAGTAGCTGTAAGTTGTAAAATTGGGTGTACACAAATCATAGCTAGAATCAAGTGTTCATCAAATATCTCACTAATGCCTTTGTATACTTTGGACAAAGCTTTGCAGGTAGCCTCTCTCTGGAGTAAAGAGCATCCTCTTTATTTCCCACATGCTATTATTCCCCACATCCCTTGGGTGTCAAGTGCCAGGATCTCCCATCCTCCTTCTCGTATGTTCAGCTTTTGTATAGCGTTGAGGGTCTTGTAGGCATCCATGAGTAGGTGAAGAAGCCAGATACTTGATGACCTCTGAGTACTGTCCCCCTTCTTTGTTCTCCTCTTGAGATTCCCTGCACACACCCCACCGTCAGCCTTGCTCACCTGGCCAGGCCCTGGTGCTCAGGTCCAGACAGGCAGAAGCCCCAGCAGGCCAGGAGGCCCCAGCAGGTCATGAGCTTTCGTTCGCCTTGCTCTGAACTCTGCCCTGCGGGGAACACACATGTTAGCTTGTAGCCTCTGAGGGATGTATGGGAATCCATTAGGTGGCACTGGGGTTTTGCAGGGGTAGGACTGTCAGGGAGTCACAGGCTATTGAGCCCAAGAGGGCTCTGGGTCCCTTCATTCTGGCTTCCCTGGTGAGAGTCAGCACCCAGGTTAGGAGCACGTGGAAGGTCCGATTGTAGGTCTCCCGACTCTCACTTTGGAAGGGGAAGGTGGGCCTGGGATTGTGCACTTGTCCCAGGTATCTTGTTTGCGTGTGGAGTAGTTTCTGGAGAGGAAAAAAGGTTTTTCCTCAGTGATGCTTCCTGAATAGAGGGCATTGATGGGGGTGGGTGTGGAGGGGCCATGTTGATCAGGCACCCTACTCCCCTCCTGGTCACTCCAGGCCCAGTTCAGGAGCTATGAGCAGTCTCTGACCTGTGGCTCATGCCAGGCTTTCTGTGTACTCTTTTCCCCTTCCTGACAGCTTCCCTGAAAGTGGCTTTCTCTCCTCTTTGAACTCTGCCTCCTCCCTCCCTCTGGGGAAGGAGACCCTGTTTGTGGTTGGCTGTCTTGTTCCTGCTTATCTTTTTCTTTTTTTAAGTGGGCCTATTCCACTCTTGTAGAAGCCCTTGGCAGGTATTTTTCTCTCTCGCCACTTCAGTGTGCCAACAAATGTTCGTTGAGCAACTACTCTGGGCCAGGCACTGTGCTGGGTGCTGCAGCTGGCAGAGTGGAAGTATGGGTTGGATCTGTGCCCTCAAGAAACATAATCCCATGGGGGATTTATGGGGAAGAGATGGGGGAGGAAGGGAAGTGTGCAGGGCCAGGTCTGTGGGTCTGAACTACCAGAAGGCTATGGGTGTGTATGTAATAGGATCACCTGCAGGAGCTCTGCAGCTCCAACCTGGAGCAGGGCCTTGGAGGATGGGTCAGAGGAGAGGGAGCCAGCCAGCTCAGTCAGGGTGCCAGGCACACTCAGGTGGGTGGGCAGGGAGGGGAGGAGTGAAAAAGTTGGAGACTTTGGACAGGACCGCTCCTGCTACTACTCCTTGGACTAGGAGTTGCCGTGGGTGTTGGTTTGCATTTGGTGGTCTTGGACAGGTACAGGTCAAGGGATACCTGGCAAGCTGGAGTAGAGGGGTTCTTTACTATGGACCTAGTCCTAGGCTCTGCCTAGCTAGTAACCTGCAGTTTGACTTTGGATGAGTTACCTCCCCTGTCAGCTACTGTGGTGGTCAGTGGGGGTGGCTCTGGGAACGTTCTCCACATCAAAATCTGAACTAAGCCTTAGGACTTGATTCTTCTCCTTCTCCCAGAAGGAGGCGCTGTTGCGGGGGCTGCAGCACCCCGAGTCTCCTCCCCTACCTTCTTTGCTAGCTGCTAGCCTCTGGGGCCCGCATTCAGCCACCCTGGGGACAGCTGGGAGGACCGATGGCTAGGGAAGAGTTTCCAGCATGTGCCGGGTTGACCCTCTTGTTGCTGGCCTGAGAGCTGGGGGAGCCCTGGGCTGCCCACCCCGCCCCCGCCGCCTGGCCGCCAGCCTGGCTCCCGTAACTGGGCAGGCGCATAGCTGGGGCTCAGCGGTGCGCGTCCTGATAAGGAGACTGCTCCTTCCAGGGCTCTGGGGAAAGGGCCCGGGCACTGGGCAGGCAGACGCGCACACACACAGCGCAGGCACACAGCTAGCGAGCAAAGTACGCTGGAACACTGGCAAAGGGGGACTCCCACCTGGCAGCAGTCACACCCCTCCCCCCCACCTCCACCGGCCACAGCAGGTAGCCCCAGTGACAGGAGACCCCTCATTGGCAGTGTGGACCCCTGCTGTTCAGAGCCCACTCTCCATCCCGGTCAACTTGCTTTGGAGCCTTGGGGCAAATTTCCTCTTTGGGCTTTTCCCATCTCTAAAGTAAGGGGTTGGAGGGAAACCCTGAGGGCTAATGTGCAGATGCCAGGCCACAGAGGCCTCTCTCCCCTCTCCTGCTCTGCTCCAGGCTGGTCTCAGAAACTGGGGTCCTCAGCAGGTGACCCGCCTCTGCTGGGCAGGGGCTGGGGGCCTCCTGGCCTCTCAGCCCCTGGGAGTCAGGCCCAGCTCTGCCTCCCCCTTGGGTGTCTTTCTGTCCCAGGAAAAGCCAGTTCGCTGAGCTCGGTGGGTGCCTATGTGGACGGAAATGTGGAGAAATACTTTAATCACAGCTGTAACCTGTGTTTATAGAGCTCCTTTCTCCTCAAAGTATCCATTAACTTCGGAATAAATCTCCTGCTCTTTGCTTCCCCACTTTTTTTTTCTGTAATTATATTCTGTAAATTACTATTATCCAAATTGCGCCCGGGGAAGAGAGACAGAGCAAGAGAGAGAACTTCTGAACGACTGGAGGAGGCCGCCTAGGAAAACACAGGGTTCCCAGGCCAGGACTATAGGAATTAGAATGGGCTAGAAAGTTTTCCTTTTATTTGGCCTGGCATTATCCCTTTGAAATGAGATCAATTTCAAGTTGGGCTTCCAAGCCCCCGCCCTGCCCAGCTCAGCGGCCCCTAGCCCTGCTTGTCTGCTCCTCCCAGCTCCTCCTGGAGGTGAGGAAGGGGTGATAATGTGCAGTTTGCCTCTTGCTGGCGCCAGCCGGCCGCGCTGTTTATCTGGCTGCCAGGGAAATCTGGGCAATTAGGCTCAGCCGGCCTTAAAGTGCCAGGAGCTCCTTTTCTGCATCTCCCATCATGGGGCTTAGGGTTGAGTCTTCAGGTTCTGGGGGCAGGAAGGAGGGGCACTTGGGAGGCCCCCTCCCCACCCACAGCCCCTCTTTGGGAGGGGGGAAACTTGGCAACTCGGGAGCCATGTGGATCTTTTCCTAGGCAAGATGCTGAGCTGCGAAGATGGGGGTGGAAGGTAAATGTCCCCAGCTGAAACGTTGCCAGGCACTGGGAGAGGCTGTGAACTCTTTTCTGGCTTTAGAATTTAGGTTTAGATCCCAAAAGGCTAAGTACCCCCTGGGGGCTACAGAGGCTTGCCTGGGCTGAGCTGAACCTTCGGGCGCATTGGCCCCTGGCTGACTGCTCCTGCTTCTGAAGGAAGTTGGAGGAGATTCCTAAAGTGGATGCCTCAGGCTGGATGTCCAAGGGGTTGGAGTTTCTGATGTCTTTCTGTCTCCCTCTCTTTTCGTTTTCTCTTTACCAGGTCCACTTCTTTCAGAAGAAAGAAGTGGCGCTCTAAAAGTTCTGTTAAAATTTAGAGCATATTGGTTATTTTAAAATCAACACAACTTCTAAAAGGGGAGTGGACAGAGGGCCTGGTGGCAGCTCAGTTTCTCTTATGACCTTTGGTCTCACCCACCACGTGTCTCACCTGAGTGCCCACCTTGTCCACCTGAGGTAACGTCCTGGGGCTCCGTCAGTCCAGGTCCATGAGGCGCAGCCTTGTGGGAGTGGCAGTTGATTCTTACCCAGTAGTGTTCATAGCACATTATTTGTAACATCTAAAGAGAGGAAGCAACCCAAATGTCCATTAGCTGATGAATGCGTAAATGGAATATGGTACATCCAAAGAATGGACTATCGTTCAGCCATGAAAAAGAATGAAGGACAGTACTGAAATATGCTACAACATGGATGAACCACGACGACTTTGTGCCACACGAAAGAAGAAGCCAGCCGCACAGGCCATATATTGTATGATTCCATTTAAATGAAATATCCAGAAATGGGCAAACCCGTAGAGACGAAAGTAGGTTAGTGGTTGCCCAGGGTTTTGGGTTGGGGTCTAGGAATTGACTTCTAATGGGAATGGTATTTCTTTTTGTGATGAAAAGAATGTGTTTAGACTGTGGTTGATGGTTGCGCGACACTGTGAATATACTAAAAACCACTGAATGGTATATTTTAAAAGGATAAATCTTAGGGTATATGAATTATATCTCAATTTTTGGAAAGGGTTACCTGATAGTGGTCTCCAGCTGGTCTCTGTTATACCCCCATTACACCTGCAGCTACCTTCATGTACATCCAAAGAATGGGCATGGTCCATTTGGGCAGGTCCTTCAAGTGGGACCTTAGTTTTCCTATCAGTGAAAAGAAGGAGTTGAGTTGGGTGAACCCCAAGGCCCCTTCTGTCTCTGACACTAAATTCTTGTGTTGTGGGATGGAGTCTAAAGCCTTCATACTTTTTTAGAATCATGGAATCTCATTATTAGCTTTCAGTCTCTGCATTTCCTAAACAGTTGTGTGCGATTTGCCAGAGCCAATAGTGGGAGCCTAGTGAGGTCCCTCCTGAAGGCTTTGCAGTGCTCCACTAGCTGGCATGTCTCATGGTTCAGGTTCATGGATTTTCTTTCTATCTCACAGCATTGGAACTCCCAACTCAGCTATGGCCATGGGTAGTGAGTGTCACAACTCAAGGCCCAGGTAGCTCTTCCAGGTGGGAGTTCATGAGCCCTTCCTGCCTTTCACCTTTTGAGCTCCAGGTAAGCAGCCCCTGGAAGAGATGCTGGCATTGGTTACAGAGGCTTGACTCCAGCCACTACTGCCCATTGTTGTCAAGTTTCACCTTTGGGGACAAATCTGGGGGGCAGATGTCCAGAGCTCCATGCCATGTGTGGCCTGGGCCTCAGCCAATCAGATTTTTGCACAAGTAACCCTAAGGAATTGCAGGCTTTCTGATATGCTCATGGGGATCGCGGAAAGGGCATGGAGGTCAGAGACCTGGCTTTGGTTCTGGTCCAGTACCTGACTCCTGAGGGAGTCACTTGGGCTCGCTGGGCTGCAGTCTCCTCCTCTGTATGGTGGGAGCACTGACCTCAATTCTCTTTTATCGTGGAATTCCGGCCCTTCCTATACCCTGCGTCTTGTTCTGAGAGGCTGCTCTTCACTCGAGGCTGGCCTCTAGGCCTGAGAGCCCCCTAGGTCCTCCTTCTGCGCGTCTTTGTCCACAGGTGCATTCAACTTTACCATTAACCTCATCCCAGTTGTCTTTGTTCATATTTAGTGAGCACGTTGTGAGTAGGTGGTGTCCCAGATACAGTGGGGATGAAGGGATATAAGACAGGGCATCTCTTGATTCATCTCAGCAGGTGGCAGAGCAGAGTCAGGCCTGGACTGGAGTCCCAGCTGCACCATGACCGGCTCAGGGGACATGCGCAAACCAGTATTCTCATCTGTAAAATGGGGATAATAATGCCATCTCATTTATTTATTTATTTATTTTAAGAAAGAATGATATAAAAACAGGTGCCTGATGAGCATGATTAACTGCTCTGTACCTGAGGTCTAAAACAATAAAATACAATAAATAAAATGGAACGTGATTGGCATGGAGTGGGATGGATACAAGGTAGGCACCGAGCAAACGTTCACGGCTCTTTCAGAGGCTACTCTGATTCCTGTTTCCTTCTCCCTATCATCTGTCCATAGAAAGTCTCTGTTTCTAAACCTCAGAGCCTTCACTTTGTTGGAAGTAACTGGGAGCTGGAAAAGCCAGGGTGGGGAGAAGGAGAAGCCTCACTGGGTGTATGGAGCAAAACAAATGCTCCTACAACTAATTGTGCCCTATTACAATTGCGAAAAACACTTATTACCCCTGTGTCATTACTGATACCCGCCTAATAATAGTTATTACCAGTTTATTACCACTGAGAGTTTGTTTTAGTTTGTGATTTGATTGTGTTTAGTTTCATTTACAGAAAATGAAGGGTCATTTCATTCATGCAAATTGTTACTTAGTTTAGCAAATTGTTACTTCCCGTAAAGCAAGAAGCTAAGGAATTCTTCTGAAGGCAAAGTGTATGTTTCTAAGGAGGAGTATTTTAGGCAAATGAAAGGAAACCCAAAGAAAAATATCATAGACAATAAGGAATCGTAGTGTCTGAGCTACAGAGAGCTTGTGTTTCACCCCTGCCCTTTGCAAAAGGGGAGACTGAGGCCAGGAGCTGGAAGTGACTGGCTTAAGGCCTCCTGTTGACATAGCTGGGTTTGGCCTTTTGGGTCCTAACCCTTTCCGCTGTCCTCCCCTGCACCTAGGAATGCTAGCTTCTAAAGCAGCTTGTTTGGACGTGAGTTTCCGTGTCTGGGCCTTTGCACTCACACTTGGCTCTGACGAGGCTTGCCACATTTAGCAAATAAGATGCAGGATGCCCAGTTAAATTTGAGTGTCCGATGAACAACACACCATGTTTTAGTATACGTGCGCCCCCAGTTTTGAAAGGGACACAGTCAGACTACAAAACGATGCCATGTTAATCCAAAGTTCAAATGTAACTGAGCATTCGGTATTTTATCTGGCAGTGCTGGCTCTGCCTTCTCCTGCACTCACGTTTCTCTTGTTAAAGTAGTAACAGTTACTGTTTATGGAGGTGTTTTTCAACAGTGCCAAGAGCTGCACTAAGCATTTTACATACATTATCCCAGCAAACCTGGGAGGTCTAGATGATTATTATCCTCATTATAGAGGTGAGGAAATAGGCTCAGAGAGGCGAAGTAACTTGCTTGAGATCACACAGCGAAAGCTGGCAGGGCTGGGATTGAGCCCATATCTGTCTGCGCCCCAAGCCTGTGGCTTTAACTGTTGAGGGGATTTGGGCAGCAGAAGAGGTGGGACAAAGTGGGGAGGGAGGGCTTCCTGGAGACTGAGTTTATTATTGGAGGAAACCAATAATTAAAAGCATGTAGAACCTGAGGTGTGAGTTCCCCCACCCTGGCAGTGACATGCTGTCTCCTGTCTTTCAGAATCTCCGCCACCTCCCTATTCTCGGCTGTCTCCTCGCGACGAGTACAAGCCACTGGGTAAGTGTGCCCTCCTTCCTCCCCTTATAGAGGTGTGTCCCTCACTGGCTCCCCTTCAGCCCAGGGTCTGTCCAGCTTCCGGGCTGGAGGGCTGGAGGGAAGGGGTGGAAGCCGCGCTGGTTGCCGTGAAGTGGGGTGAAGTTATACAGACACTCCCACAGTTGGGCCAAAGCAGGCTATTTACATCTCAGAATTCCACGGCTCATCATTAACCTCTCTGTGACCTTTAAACATGGGCCTGTCGGAGATGAATGGGTTTTGACTTAAGCATTTCGCTGGAGGTGGGTTGGTGTTTCTGTGCCTCTTCTGTCTCTCTCGGGCCACCCCAGCTTTGGGTTATTCTCCTTTAGAGTGTATTAATTAGTAGTATGACACAAATAGGTTGAGCATGAAGTCTTTGTTGAGAGGAGCTGTATATTTCCCCCCTTTTTAAGCCAAGATGTTCACTTGAGCAGAAACAACATTTGGAGTGTTAGAAAGGAATGTGTATTGGTACTCAAAGCCCCTGGCGTGCACTGTCCCCTAGGTGAGTTTAGTGGAGTTGGTAATGTAATTTTAGACCACTCCCATCAGAGGCAGAATGTGTTTTCTGCAAAACCTGGAGCCTAGATGATCAGCCCATATTCTGGGGTAGATGCAAGTGGTTTCGGAAGTAGAGATTGTTGGCTCACACCTGGAATCCCAGCACTTTGAGAGGCTGAGGCCAGCAAATCACTTGAGGTTAGGAGTTTGAGACCAGGCTGGCCAAATGGTGAAACCCTGTCTCTACTAAAAATACAAAAATTAGCCAGGCATGGTGGTGGTGCACATGGTCCCAAGTAGCTGTAATCGCAGCTACTTGGGAGGCTGAGGCAGGAGAATTGCTTGAACCCGGGAGGCAGAGGCTGCAGTGAGCTGAGGTCACGCCACTGCACTGCAGTCTGGGCTACAGAGTGAGTGAAACTCTTGTCTCAAAAAAAAAAAAAAAAAAAAAGTAGAGATCGTGGCTGGAAATGATGGCTCATGCCTGTAATCCCAGCATTTAAGGAGGCTAAGATGGGAGAATTGCTTGAAGCCAGGAGTTTCAGACCACCCTGGGCAACATAGCAAGACCCATCTCTACAAAACATACAAAAATTAGCTGGATGTGGTGGCTCAGGCCTGTAATCCTAGCTACTTAGGAGGCTGAGGTGGGAGGATCACTTAAGCCCAGGAGTTTGAGGCTGCAGTGAGGTATGATTGTGGCACTGCCCTCCAGTCTGGGTGACAGAGCAAGATCCCATCTCTAAAAGAAAGAAAATAAAAGTGGAGATTACTTGGCTTTCTGTTTCCTCCAGTGGGAGTTCAGAGCATGGGTTCTGAGGCAGAGGAGCGATGGAGTCTGCAGGATCTTGATCATGGGGCAAGTTAGTTTGGCCCTGACAGTACCAGGAGAGCAACGGTGTGGCCCGAGCAGTTCCCATGGGACTCAAGCTTTCAAAGTCAGATGGCGTGGCAACGATGCTGAAACTTTCCACCAAGTGACCGCTTTTACTGGGTTGCGTTTGGTTTTTGGTAAGGGCCTCCTCCCAGTAGCGTGTCAGCATCATCTGGGAGGTCACTTCTTAGTGTCGTAGATGCTTAGACATCTGCCCCAGTTTTCCTTCCAGACCCCTCACCCGCCATGAAGTCAGACATGCCCATCAGCCCCTTCAGGAGTGTGACCTTCTCAGGCTAGGTGGGCAGAGGCTGTCCCATGAGGGTGTGGGAGTCGGCGGCCAAACATGGTGGCCAACCTATTGTTTGTTCTAGAAGTAGGATTGTCCCATGCATGGAGGAGCCTTAGTTCTCTGGGGAACTGGAGAGATTCTTTGGTGGGATCTTGTCACGTAAGAGATGAAGCATCAGGCTGACTGAGGGTGAGGAGCTGCCCAGCTAATGAGCAGCAGCGTTGAGGCACAAACTCAGAGCAGCCCTGACTCAGGTCCGTGGCTTGCTGTCCTTCCCTCGTAGGCCGGTCTCAGCATTTCCTAAGTCAGCATAATTGCACTAGTTGCTTGCAAGGTCCCCAGTTCCATTAGAGAAGAAAACCCTCAAAAGTTCTTAGTGAAAGTTCTTAGCACCTCAGTTTGAATGTCAAGGATCGTCGCCCTGAAGGTTTGTCAGTCAGCCTGTGATAAAGCAGCAAAAATCAGGAAACTGTTTGTGTAGAAACCAAACCGACAGTTGTTCCCATGATTTTACAAATGAAACAACTGAGGCCCAGAAAGAGGAAGTGACGCTTACGGGTGGTCAAATGGCTCAGCCCACCCCTTGTTTTTATATGCCTTGCAAGCTAAGAATGGTTTTTGTTTTTGAAGTTGTTGAACAAAAAATCAAAAGATGCATACTATTTCGTGACACCTGAAAATGACATGGAATTCCAATTTTGGTGTCTGGAAGTGGAGTTTGACTGGAACGCAGCCAGGCTTGTCCATTTCCATTTTGTCCATGGCTTTGGCAGAGTTGTGTGGTTGCAGAAGACAGTGAATAGTTCATACAGCTGAAAATATTAACCTCTGGCCCTTTATAGTGAAAGCTGGTGAGCCCTGATGTTGCTTGACTAATAGTGGAGGTGGGGACCTGAACCTGGGGCTCCAGTTTGCAGAGGCTTGAGCAGCGATGGAGGCTGGGAACATCCTTTTGTACAGCAGCCATTGAGGCACTGTCCAGGGCCTCACTAGAAACACTAGATGTGAGGGTTTGGCAAGGGCGTGATCAGGACTTTCTAGCTGTGAAAGGTGGAAACCGCCTGTCATTCCCACTCTTCTGGAAACCTCACAATGCTGTCTGTGTTGGCTGTAAGGCAGTTCACTGAGAAATAGGAGTCGGCTTGCGATGTTGCTGCTTCAGATGAGAAGTGGCAGTGGGGCTCTGGGCACAGAGCACTTCGGGAACATTAGGTATTAAAAGCAAAACTCTTTTAAGAAGTTCCCACTTGAGCATTGAGGTGTTTTTGTTTTGTTTTGTTTGTTTGTTTTAAAGATTTTTCTGTGTCCTTATTTTTCTCCTAACATGTTTACCAGCAGATAACTTTTTCATTCCCTTATAAATAGTCCCAGGTTATTTTTTGGGAAATAATTTCTCTTCCTTGCATTGTTGCTTTTTTGTAAACAAAAAGCCAGTTCACTTCTAAGCCTCTGTGATCACATGAGAACAAAAAAACAAAATAAAACCCAGAACACCCAGTCAGCATCTGGCAAGTGGGAAACGAGAGAGGGAAAAAAAAAAAAAGGCCAAATTGGTTAATGTTTTATCTTCCGACTCCCCAAGCCATGTGGTAAAAGGAAAAAAATTCCTGCAGGATCTAGCTAGTGGCAGCCTAGGCAAACGGTTTCATCCCAGGAATCCCTCGCCTGGAGTAGCTCTGCCGGGCCAGGTGGGGCCAGGTGGGGCCACCCGAGCCGGTCCTGGGTTGTGTTAGGTGAGAAGACAAGTGTGCTGTAGGCCATCTAACGCCTGGACAGGCCTGTCCCTTAACGGGGACAACACCCATTGCTGGTAGCAGAGGCACAGGCCCAGGAAAAATTTTCCAAGTCTACCTGTCCCAAAAGCCATTGGCTTGCCAAGCTAGCAGCTCCGTGTTCTAGAGAAAATGTGCAAAAGAATTTCTTTTTCTCATCTAACTGTACTGCAGACAGAGGAAAACCAACAATGTACATATGAAGTACTTAAAACTACTTAAGAAAGAAGAACACCTTAAAAAAAACAGTCCAGGCTTTGAAAGTTGCTCTGTGAGCAGGTTTGGATGTCGGGGATTGGGGGAGGGGAGAGAAAAAACAAAGTTAATCTGGGGAGCAAACGCTTGAGCCCTTAATTAGAGGGGTGTAAGCAGGACAGAGTGAGGACGGCTGGTGACTTGTTAAAACAGTTTCCCCAGCTCCAGCCGGAGGGAGGAAGGAAGGAAGGAAGAAAGGAAGGAAGGAAGCAAGAAGGAACAGCTTCAAGAATTTTAATGGTTGTAATTAAGAATAGCAACTATGAATTGTTTAGGGGCTTAATTTAACCTCAGAGGCTCCAAGTTGCTACTTGCTCTGTCCCCTGAACTTGGGCTATTTCTGTGGTCAGGGCAATTGCAACCTTTTCAGGTACCAGCTTCACTAGTCAGCATTTTCCAGAAGAGCTCCTGGGCTGGCTGGTCTGGTCTGGGGTGATCCTGAGATGGGGTTACAGGGTGACATCGGAAAGTCGGGAGGGACATGCTGCCCTTTGCAAGCACACACATCCACATGCGTGCACACATACACAGATGCATGGGAAAGAAGCAGAAAGAGCTCACTGCCCCGCGACCAACTAAGTTCTCTTTTTCTTTCCTCCCACAGATCTGTCCGATTCCACATTGTCTTACACTGAAACAGAGGCCACCAACTCCCTCATCACTGCTCCGGGTGAATTCTCAGGTCGGCAGTTTTTCTTCTTGTACATTGCTGTGGTGTTTAAATGTATCAAAGGGGACAGCTGGGGAGGGGGCTTGGTGGGAGACTCGTTGACTTCCCCTCTTCTTTTTGCTTCCCTTCTCCTCCAGTCTTTGGATGGGAAGATTGCCAGTGTTTCACTCGCTGGTGTTCTCGGGGTTAAGAACAGTTCTGTGTGAGTGAAACCTGAAGATAACTTTTAAAGCACCTGTCTACCACGTTTTAACCACTTGTCTGTATCTTGTCTCTCTTGGAAGTGATAAAAGTCCAGCACAGCTCTCCATCTCTGCTTTTAGCAAGGGATCCTCTTCCCCCAGCTGCGAGAGGCAGCAAAGTGGTTGTGTCATGCGTTTATCTTCCTCCTGTCCCCACTCTGCGGGAGGGACTGATGTGAAGGGTTAGAAGATTGGGGGAAATGAAGCCGGTTGAATGAACTTGCAGGGAGGATCTGGCAAGTGAGGAGTTTGGCAAAGGCCAGTGGTTTCTGTGTCTCTCCCTGAGCAGCAGAGGCTGGGATAGAAGCCGAGGGAACCCTGGTTTGGAGTCCTCTAGCCCCTGCAGTTAGAAGCTGGTTTTAGGGACCCCCATATCTGGAGGAATACCTGAATCAAACTTCCCTTGAGAAATGAGAGGCTGGTGTTGGACTGGGGACATCGAGGGCCAGGGGCAAGGTCTGTGGGGCCCTTTGGGAGCATGGCTGGTGGGCGTGTGGCCTGGGGGTGTGCTGGCTGAGACTGACAGCCCCTCAGGCTGGGGCTGCCTCCCTAGTGGGTATGGCTGGATGGCTGCATGTCTCCATCTGAGCCATTCTTCCCTTGCCCACATCTATGCATGGTAGCAGTCGCAGTCATCATAGCCGTTTATTGGTATACTATGGCCCGACACTCCACTCAGTCCCTTTATGTGCATTCTCCAGGAACAGCCACGGGCTATTTGCCTCTAGGGTCTCTGCTCCTAATCACTGTTTGTCCCCCACTTTTCTGCAAGGGCCAAATGCACCTTCGATAAATGTATTTCCTGTAAAGTTCTGTCGTTCTTGATGTAGACTCTCTGTAACTCTAAGGATAATTAATGCAGCTGTGGCTGCTCACGGCTGCCTGGGCATTTCCCCAGCCCCCAGCCTTCGCCCATCCATTCCCTTCTCACCAAGGCACAGGAGCTCACGAGTAGGTTGTTGCAAAGATGGAGAGGCTGGGAGCAGAAGCAGGAACGTGACTTGCCACACAGGGTTCCACACTGGGCAACCTGGTACTGGGGTCCAGGTGATGCTGGGGTCCAGGTGATGCTGAGGTCCAGGTGGTGCTGGGGTCCAGGTGATACTGGGTCCACGTCTTCTGGGTCTTACTCCCAAATGCCTTCTGGTCTCTAGTGGCCCACCCAATTAGGGTACTTCCTTCTCTAATTTCTTTCCCTCAAAGACCAACTAGATGAACACAAGTTAAAATTTCAGTCTTTTTCTTCTGCACCTACATGAATGAAAGCCACATATAATTTTGAAGCAAGGAGCTTAAAAGTATTTCTGAGTTTATGATTTTATGTCACTGCCAGCCCTCAGAGTATATTTGATTCAGATGGATTGCACTGGCATTGGTTGTCTGGACAGATGGGTAATTTTTTGACATCCTCTTTCTCCCAATTGTTAATGTCAGAAAGTCCGTGGTGTGTGTGTGTGTGTGTGTGTGTGTGCGCGTGCACACCTTGCAGTGTTAAGGTGTTTGCAGATGTAGTCTTATTTGATCTCAGCCATTCCAGAGGGGGCCTGGTGTGGCTCGGGCTAGAAGGACCAGACCCGCAAGCACTGGCAGAAGGCCTGCCCCTCAATCTGGAGGCTGGGAGGTCTCTAGAGACCCCCAGGCCATTTGTTTTGGTTGCCTTTGGGCCTTACTTGGCCTGTTTCTGAGATTTCTGCGTGGATATCCCAGAATAGTCTTTGGTACTGGTTAGTGAGAAGGTCCCAGCTACTCTTGACGGTGCAAAAGGACTGTGTTGGAAATGTGTCCAGTGCCTTAGAATTCTAAGGGGTTGAAGGATTTGGGGAAGAAATTGGGGATTTCCTATGCCAAGGGCATTGAGTGAGGTCTTAAAGGACTTTGGTCTGAGTTCTGGGTGGCCTCAGTATTTGAGTGGAGTGTTTCCCTTTGTGTCCTCCCAGTCCCTTCCAGAGATGCCGTGCATGGAATGTCCCCACTGTCCTGAGGGCCCACTGTTAGCTTTCCCAGCTTGCTCTGTGCTATCGGGATCTGAGGTCCTGTGGGTTAAGCTGCCCCCCTGCCTACTGGGAGCCCACAGACATGGGGATGTACTGTGGGCTGTCATACTGGAGGACATATTCAGGGAGGGAAATGGCCTGGGGGTGACAGGTTTTGGTGGGTGGTGAAGGCATGAATCATCCTGCAAGATGGAGTGCAAGGTTGTGTGGGAGGGCAGGGCCAGAGGTGAAGTCAGAAAGGTAAGGGGCAGAGGTAGGCACAATACGTTGGGCCAGGCCAGGGTATTTGATATCTAAGGACAAATGATGATGGTGCTGATGATGACAGCAGTTGACATTTATCGACATTCACTATGCGTCAGGCACTTTGCTAAGCTCTGTCATTCTGCATTTCAGTGATTCTTTTCCATGACCCAGTGAGACAGGTGTGATTCTCCCCATTTCATAGAAAAGGAAACTGAGGTTCATTGCTGCACCAACTGCCCATAATATAAGTGGCAGGCTTGGAATTTGAGCCTCGACAGTGTGACTGCCCAGCTCCCACCCTGAGGGCCCTGCCCAGCGTTCCACAACAAGTGTCCTCGTCCCCTTCCCCAAGCTAGACCCGGCAGGAGCAAAGTAAAATGATCACAAGGAGCCTGGGGGCACCTGTCCTGATTTAAGTACCGGGGAAAGGAATGAGGGGCCTAGCAAGGGTGCAGGGTGGCTCCATGGCCTTCCAGGCCACCACTGGACAAACCTGCGGACCACCCAGAGATCACACCACTTGGCTGCCTGGCCCTCCATCTCCCTGTGTTCTGGGGTCTGCTGATCCTGAGAGCCTTGTCACCCTCAGTGTCCTGGGATGGATGTCATCCCCAAACAGGGTGTCTGCAGCCCCAGGATGGAGACTGCCCTTGTTTGTCTCCCACAATGACAATCCCAGTGCTGGGCCTGGGACTCTGTGTGTTTTATCCAGCTCCATGGTCTCTGCTTTACTTCCCTGTCCTGTTGTTGAGGCCACTTAGGGGAATGGTGGGGCTCTTGAGGCTTAGTCCCAGGCCTGGGCAGGCAAGGATGCTTGAGGGGGCAGGGCGAGGGGCCGCGGAAAGGAGACACACTTGCTTCAGCTCTCTGCTGAGTAGTTGATGGAAAGCCTTCATTTGATATCTATGTCAGCTCCCAATTTGGATACGTGATCGCCACTGAACAGTGTAGAGGGGGCAAGTGGCTTCACCAAGGTCACTAGGGAGCGGGGTGGTGGAGGAAGGCTGGAATGCAGAGCTTTGACCAAATCCGAAGACCTTACGCCTGGAGTCTTCGATAGGATTTGGGAAAAATTAAAAGCCTAGAACTTTTGAAGTCCCTTCAGAACTCTGGCACTCTGGTTTCCTCGCCGAATTCAGGGCCTGGGGTGCTGTCCCCTGCCCGTCCAAGGCCTCTGTCAGGCTGTCCTCTTCTCAGCAGTATTTCTATTCCTCTTCCATTTGCTTGATTTCAGTTTAGTTTGGGGAAGAAAAGAAGACAAGCTAGTTAAATAAATTTATACTAAGGTGTGAGTGGCTGGTAGGCAAACTTTTTTCCCCCCAACTTTAAAGTAGAACATGCCATAAATCTCAGGATTGCAGGATGAAGGAATGGCAGTTCCGAGAAAGGCTGGTGGCAGAGGGAAGGGTTCTCTCAGCATCTCTGACTCCAGCCTAGAAAAACAATGAACATGTCATAAGGAGCTTTAAGCCTTGGGTGAGGGAAGGAGCCCTGGCCAGGCCGGGCTGGGTGAGCTCTGAGTCACTTAGCAGGAGCCTGACGTGGTGGGGCTGCTGAAGCACTCAGGCCTGCCTGACTCCATGCTTCGGGGCTGGGGACAGGGCACTGGGCAAGCTTCTTTAGAACAGTGGCTTCCCTGTACTGTCTTATTCTAGAACCTGTACTGTCTTATTCTAGACCATTCACATATTTTATTAAGCACCCTGCCCCTCAGTTTTCTCACCTGTAAAATGAGGATGATAATAACAACATATTCCCTAATGGTGAGGGTTAAATGAGATACTTTGCCCCTGGCAGGGTCTGACATGGGGAAGGGGGAAGGGATGCTTGTTGTAGAACATGGGGCAGAGCCCTCAGGGTGGGAGCTGGGTAGTCATCACTGAGATTGGGCAGTCCTTTCTAGGACCTTGGCCGTGTGTGCCTGGGATCTCAGTACTCACAGCATGTGGGTTTCTTTAGAATTGTGTTATTGAGAGCCGGCCCTTCAGCTTAGAAAGGAGAATTCCCAGGGAAGGAAGGGAGCCATGTTAGACTACATGGAGAGTAGGGGGCCGTAAGCTCCACCAACCGGACCGTAAGCTCCTTGAGGGCACAAATCATGCTGTAGATTGTTGCATTGTGTAAGGTGGCAGAGTTTGGGAACAGAGGCTCAGGGAGGTTGGGAGACTGGCTCAGAGCCATACAGCAAGCATAGCAGTAGGGACTCACCTAGGTTGCAACCGTAGGTGGGTCCACACTGCTTACCCACCCACCACTTGATAGGAACTGTGCCTGCCATTTGGCCGTTTCAGGGGTCACTTGGGGTCGGACCTGTCTGGTGTCATCGTCGGTGACTGCTGAAGCTGGGAGAGCAGTGTGTGTATGCAGTGTCATTTCCTGCTGCTTTCTCGATCACAGGGACCAAGTGTGTTCCCACTTGACACCCTCATGTAACAGATTCTAGAGTTCTGTGTTCCGAGGCGCGCGGTTCAGCCCATTCAGTGTGTTCTGAGTCCCGATAGCTGTGTGGGCCGAAGGGCATGGGCTCTGC